AATAATAAGGAAAAAAAAACTTTATTAACATTACATTATCATTACGAATTGTAAACGTTAGTTCACTGTACACACTACAGATTGTCCATGAAGCTTGAAAATCACACAGAGAAGGTCCGCCTTTAAAAAATAAAGTATTTTCAACCATAATATTTCTGAAAATATTGACAGGTAGACATTCATGTTGAACATGTACCACCCTAAGATACCACTGCCAAAAGGAATTAATTTCTTCAAAACATTTTAATTTTCATTCCTTAGAGTGGCACACAAAAAGCATATATCAACATAAAATTCCACAGTTTATTTCTTTCCATTATTCCATTGTTCCTCATGTATAAAAATTAATACTTGAGACAACAGTGTGATGGGCATTGCCCTACAGAATGTGACTGCTTTGCAAGCACACCATTCCCCCCCTAAGATTTCCTTCAAAGATAACTGTCCTTCAAACATTTCAAGTTCCCAAAATGTTTCTTTCACAATGTGGAAATTCATATTTCCAACTGCAACACATTTTATTCATGTTCAAAAGTGTTCGATTTGTATAGGAGCCCCACTGCTGAAATGTTTAGTTTAGCTGTATACTTTTAAACATTTAAATACAGTATAAAATACACAGCAGATACTGTGATTTACCCTTTAGGCATCTTGCATGAAAACTAAACGAATTCTAAGATGCAATATTAAGTGGACTCCATGTTAAACAGCTTTGGGAGTCAATTCTAAATTTCTCTTTCTAGACCAATTCTGGAAAGAGTGATGCTCTATTATTGCATTGCTTTTCCAGACATTAATCTGGATTTACCCATCATGGGAGGAAAAGAGGCATGCTCCGAAAATACCCCAGGGTTTCCTTTAAAACATTTACTTCTGCAATTAAGACGGATATACTGTACACAGACAGGAATGTGCAAACACACTGGGCAACAGCTAGGGTGCAGTCTAGGAATATCAGCAAGGGAAGCTCACGAGTGGAGGGCTTTGGACTGAAAGCAGAACAAAACCAAGAAATTCAATTTCAGTAACACTTCCGTATAGGGGTGCAAATTCATATATAAACCCCTTATAATCACTAATATAAGAGAATAACATTAATGTGTCAATCACTGAGGTTACCCATGATGAAAAACAATATTAACTAAAGTCAGGATATTTGTTATTTATAAATACTTCATGAATACTTATACTGAAAGGTGTCCCAAAATATATATACCGAGAAGCATTAAAAGCACAAATTGTATTTTACAAATTCATAAATTTTAAGACGTTTCCAATATTTATTTATTGCATTTTAATGCCTCTCACTTCATAATAGCAATTACTCCAGCTTTAAATCCAAGTGTTTTTATATTGGATTGCACTCTAAATCATGCTTTGGTAGATATACTGTAAATATTTACTTATAAATAGTATTATATTAATATACCGGTAATTCTCCTACCTAGGTCTATACTGTAAACTGCAATTAACGTGACAGCCCAGACAGAAAGAGGTCAAGACTCCCTTCTAATCAGAATCAATTAAATTAAACAGCTTGCTATCTGAAAGCTTAGTACCACATAAACTTTGCTTCAGGATCCTTGTTCAATAACTGCTAATAAAATATATTTTCCAGTATGAACAACAGACACCGTCCCAGCACGTCTGTTTCACCAGAATTTGCACACGAAGATTGTACCTGTTAAAGTCTCCGACCAACAAAAAAGCTGGGCATGGCTTTTAAGAAAAAAGCCGGCAGTCAAACTGAACAGTTTGACCTGTAAGGTCCCAATAACAGGAATGAGGAAAAATAGGCAGTTCTTAATTGCTTTAAGCACCTGCACAAAACTGACATATTTCCATGACCTCTCACCTGACTACAACTATATACCCAGAGCACTGTTCTTTAGATCAGGAGAGTTAAACATGGTGTCCTGACTACTAGTCATTACAGATCTCCCAGAGCACTGTTCTTAAGACTAGTGGTGTTAAAAGTGCCTTCCTGACTACTAGTCATTAGAGACCCTGGAGCACTGTTCTTAAGAGTAGGGGCATTAACTCTGATGTTGTCACTCCTCCTGCTGACCTGCTGTGTAGTTAACTGCAAAGTGCTTTGGGATGAAAAACGCAATCTAAATTCAATTAACTTAGTATTAGTAAGAACACAGGGACAGGAAATGAAGCCACGTCAAAATAATAAAAACGGAGGTACTCTACAAAACAATAAATAAATACCACAGTGCGCACTGCGCTTTAAAAAACTGAAGTGTAAGAAAAACTAGCCAGTGCAGAGAAGGCAGCATCAGTGTACACTCAAGAAACTTCAAATGAGCAGCAGTGTAAGTTTCGGAAACTGAAAATACCAGAGGACGGAAATGCCTTTACCACCTAATCACACCCCAAGTAACATTCTAAACAGTATGAATTAAAAAAAAAATCTAAATATCATTTACCTTTTTTTAACCGGTTCAGTGTTGTCTTTGTCAAATACCAAACTTTGGAGAGTAATTTTGCATTGTGGATTTTCAGTCACATAAATGGATGGCAGAGGTTAAATCAGCATACAAAAATTCTCAAGTCTAGTCAAGACATAGTTGTTGTAAACATGTCATTGATTTTCTGCTTTCAGTGGCTGCATTCTTAGCTGGAAAACACTACTCATTAGCTTGCTTTAAAAGGAAATGTCAAAATATTATGTTACAAAGCACAGAGGTGAAATACAAATGTTCCTGATCACCGGAATTCTTCTGTTTTAAATCTCTGATCTGAAAAGGTTCTTGCTGTTCACCCTGTCTGGACCAGAAGGTCAGATCAACAGGAAGAGGAAAATAAATTAAGACTTCCTCAACCTTGCCTCCGCTGTCCAGTTAAAATAAACATTTTAACCCCCACTTACTCAGAGCTTTTCCTTTCCATCGGACATGGTCTAAGGAGCGCGTCCTTAAAATGTACATGCCAGCTGAAAAACACAATCCCTTAATAATAAGTACCCCTCTAGGCAAACATCATCTCATTTCACCCCTAAAACACCACGAGGCCATTCAAGGTTTTTTTCTCAACAGTCCTATTTTTCAGCTCTGAGAATAAAAAAGTTACCCCTTCACTAGTGTAAATAAAACACTTACACAAGCCACGCACTCCCATTTCCCTTTCCACCTGCTCTTTCCTCTGCATACTGAAGGCGAGAGCAGAGCAAGACTCCCCCAGTCTCCTCGAAGGTTAACTTCCCACGATTCTTCCAGGCATTCATTTCAGAGTATTTGGCACTTGTCCTAAACACCTGTCCTTCTCTTAGTTCACCACGCACTTCAAAATGTTTACCTGTTCAGTGTAAATCTTAACAGCTTCCACAGGGATTATTACAAAGAGACCAACTCAATACCTCAAAGGTACTGTACATGCACATTTGGTAACCTCTTGTGCTCTTTTCTGTCACGCTCTGTGACTACTATGCCTGGCTCCACTAGTAATATTAAGAACTTTTGCCGAACCGCAGAAATACTAATATAACCATTCTGCAAATTCGGCAAACAGGAAAACCACTTATAAAGTGGACGAACCAAGTTAGTTACAAGAACCTACCTCTGCTATCTAGCATTTCACAAAACTGGGGGCACCCGTAACAGATAAAAAGGCTTTATTTCATGATTCTTTTACATTACCAGAAACGATTGCTCTTTGTTCTTTTCTTGTCTTCATCTTGTTTGACTGGGGTCCAAAGCAGGCACACAATAATGCTAAATACTGTACAACATGTCAGTACCACCTCCAGTAGTTACTCAATACTACAAAGCTCCACGTAGCGAGATCTAGATCTCAGGATTTGGCTCCGTGTTTTTTTTTCTCCCCATCTTAAAGAAGTGTCTTATTCACAGTTCCGAGTCTGAGCACAGTCTGCAATAAATAACCGATAGACCCACAAAGGATCAATGTTGCCTTCGCAGAAAGATAAGTGCGAGCACTTCCACAAGAAATAAAGTCCTTGTAAGACGACGGCAGAGGTCATCTGACCCGAAGCCTTGACATCATCCATTCTAGGCCCTGACACAGTCTGCAAGAAATCAAAAACAGGGAGTCACAAAATGCATACTTTAATATGAGCACATTTCCTTTCAATATTTCATGAGCTGAACAATAAGCAGAGAGTGCCCTCCTTTCTAAAGTGAGCACTGTAAGACATGTTGCTTTCAGGTGATGACTTGTGCACTCAGTGTAGCCAGCTTCACCCAGTTCACTAGAAAAACACTCAGGAAGCTCCAGGCTCCTGCACAGCGACAGGTGAAAGAACTGAAGGTCTTTAGTCAAAGTGACAACAAGGCGACTGGACACAAGGATTGAAAATCCTGAAAGGCACTGACAATGTTAACCCAGATCACTATTTCTGCAACAGTAGTGAAAGACTCTCCAGAGAGCAAGTGCAAATTAACAGGATGTGCAATCAGGGCTTAAAACAAGAAAAAACACTTCACAC